CTTCAGGGGTTTTGTGCAGCTGTGTTCAGAGATGCTTCTAGGGACCTGTAAATTTTCAGTTGTTCTAAGGTGATATGATCAAGGGCGAGGTGTCTACTCCTTTCCTGGCTGGTGCTCTGGTCTATGAGCACTCTTTTCTGTCTTGGAACTGTGAGGAGGGTTTCCTCTCCATAGCTACTACCAGCTCCACCACACCAGTGCTCTTCCTTGCCCCAGGACCGCCACCTAGAACTGTGACCTAGGTCCAAGCACGGTCAAAGCAAGAGAATCCTGTACCAGCAGAGTGATCTCTGCAATCCCCCTGTGATCAGCCACTTGATTCCCCTTAAGTCTGTGGGCTGGAAGCTCAGGAGGCAGCCAGTGCCCCCACCGAGCTCGGGGACTGGAGCTGAGACACCGGCTTCTCTCTCTCCCTGCTGACACAGACTTTTCCCACTGACCTTCCAGGTTGTCTTTGGTGTTCCTGGGTTGAGAAGTCTGGAAACCGCCACAGCTGCCCCTGATTCAGTCCTCTGGGGCCTGCTCCAGGGTTGCTGTGGCCTGCACGCCCATGCCAAACTGGGTTCCTCTCCCTGCCCAGCACGATATACCTTTCTGATCAATCATCCAGGTTGTCTTGGGCTGGAAATTTGTTTCACTCTGGTTTTTTTGTGGGTTCTGCTGCTTTAGAATTTGTTTAGAGCCATTTTTTTATAGGTATTTGGAGGGGTTTGGGGGAGAGCTCAAGCAAGTCACTGCTTTTACTCTGCCATCTTGGCTCCGCCCCCTCCCTGTCGATTAATTTTTAATACGTGTTTGTGTGTGTGTGTGTGTGTGTGTGTGTGTGTGTGTGTAAGAGAGAGAACATGGAACAAAGCTCAAAAGGGGAAACAACCTCTGATTATCCATGGATAATCTATTCTGGTCCAGCTGTGGTTGCTCTCAACTTTGTGATATTATCGTCACTGTTTGTCATTACTTCGAGTACTGATGTATATAGTCAAGTCTAGCAGGAAGTTGATGAAATGAGGTTTGAATTCTCTTCCGTTTCAGGTGCAGCTTAAAAAAAAAGTCTTTTAAACAAAATTAGATCTTTTCGCACCAAAGAAAGAGGCAGAATAAGCCAATGAAAATTTGTATTAGAATAAGAGGTGATGTTGCTCATTGTCACTATATTATGGGGAGCATAAAGTTGGGGCAGAAGTTTGAATGAGGAAGTTAAACAACTTTTCTAGTTTTTGCCAAGTTGAGTCTTTACATGATACAGGAAATGACACTGCAAAATAGTGTGAATTTCTAAACTTTTAGATATATTCAGAGTACAAGAGCACATTTCAAAATCAAACGTTAATGATTTTTTATTACCCTATGCATTGTTATCTTTCCCCAATATAGCCATGGGTTAACTGACAATATTGCCTATAGATAATATCACTCATATCTTTATAGTCATCATCATTCAGGATTTCAATTTAATAGGAATTTTTTAAAGTTTCTTTACTGTCCTAAGTACTGGGTAAACTGCAAAGATAAAAAGTCTCTGTAGGAAGCCATTCTCTATGTCTGGGAGACCTTTAACAACTCTGCAGCAATTGCCTTACCCAAGAGTGGTCACCCTATGTCCCCACCTTGAGGCAGAACCCCTGGAGACAACAATAGCCCACTTGGATTCACTCATTAGTGATTAGTATACTCCCACCCTGTCTATGCTCCCCATCCCAGTAAATTCTGAGTCCCTGACTGCCACTGTTCAAACTCTGTTCTCTACCTTTCACTGACTGCTCTCTTATTCTCAGTGCCTTCAACCCAACCCTTCTCCCCACCACTTCCTTCTCTGAAGCTATACACCTCCTCCATTGTGCCCTCTAGAATACCTGCTCCATAACTAACGAGCTAGCTTTCATCTTAAACCTCTTGCTCCCTCTGTCTTCTTGCACTCACTGGCATCTGGCTGCCTCCTGATGACAGCTTCCCTGGCCACTTTTTCTAGAACTGGTTTTTCTGTCTAGAACTTTCACCTCTACCTTTCCCCCAATCAAAACAAAATAAAACAAAACACTGGTCATGGAATATTTCTTGCTCCCCAGTGCTGCTTCTAGCCTCTCCCTTTGCCATCATCACTTAGTAACTTCTCCTTTGAAATTCATTCAATCCATTTTTATCACCCAATCAAGATTCTAGAGGTTATTGTCCCATTGACTTCCACAACACTATCCTTCCTTCTTCAATGAATTCATTGCCTGGCTCATAGCCTTTATCTCCTCCTCAATATTTGCCCTTATACTAGGGAATTTCAACATATATATTAGTACTCTCTAAAAAACTCTGACCTTCAGTCCCTCAACTTATTCATTTCCAATGACCTACCCCTCCACCCCATCTCAGCTATACACAGACATAGTCATATCCTTGATTTTGCCATCACCTACAGTGTTCTGCTTGTTTTCATGACCTCTGAAATTTCTTTATCTGATCATAATCTGTTGTATTCTTCCTCTCCTTCTGCCTTGCATCTCCTAACCTTGTTTTTCATTCTCATTGTGACCTCTAGATTAAACTAGAGTCTATTCCATCCATCTCTCAATTATTTTCCTGGCCATCACCCTTGCACTAGCTACACTCTCCTCCCTTCCTTATATTTCCCCCTTGGTAAACCAGTTCAACTGTACAGTATCCTCTTGTCCTTTATCCTATTGAGGATCTTGTCGTGCCAAACCTCAGCCTTTGATTACTCCCACCATCTTCTCCCTTTGTACCTACTTACATGTTGCTGAATGAAACTGGATAAAATCCCAAAGCTGTGCTACCTCAGACCACTACAAATTTATATCATAAAATCTCAACTGGGCCCTCACTGTAGCAAGACAATCCTTTTATACCTGCCTAATTGACTCACTATCCCACTCATCACAGTAGCTTTTCCAAATCTTTTTATCCATCCTCATACTCCTACCTTCCCCACCCTCTTAACTAAGAATCTTGTGCCCGTATTTCACTAAAAAGGGGGTGTTTATGAAATATATTACAAAGGTAGAAATGACAGAATTTGGCAACTGATTGGATATAAGAAGTGAGAGAGGGGAGTTGAGGATGACATTTGAGTTGTAATGCAGCCTAGGTGACTTTGGAAGATGGTACCTTCATACCTCCCTGCCCCAACCCCCACCTTTCTAAACCACCTGATTCCCTACCACGTACCCTGTGATCCAGTGATGTTGGCTTCCTTGCTTATTTTTCACACAATTCTGCCTGAAATCTCTCTTTCTCTTCATTTCTGTTTCCTGGCTTCCCTGACTTCCTTCAGATATCCAGTAAAATTCCACTTTCTTCAAGAAGCTTTTCCTTGTCTTTCTTTATCTTACTACCTTCCCTCCAAGGTTGCCTACGGTTTATCCCGTATATATCCTGTTTGTTGTCTCCTCAATTAGGTTGTGAGTTCTTTTAGAGTAGAGACTGTTTTTTGCCTTTCTTTGTATCTCCAGCAATTAGCAAATTAAGTGCATGGCACTTAATAAATGCTTGCTGACTGACTGGACACTAGTCACAATTTACAGTTCAATAGATGTGTCCTGCTTTACCCTCCCTGACCCCAAGAGGAATGCCTACTCTAAGCACTGCAGAATGGGCGAATGAGAACAACTTGTTCCAGTGACCATGAAGGTGGCTGAAGCAAGCACTGTGGAGTACTTAGAGCTTGGCAAGACATCAAAGAAGCCAAAGTCATCCACTGCATCCCAGCTGTCACCAGTTGTTTTGACTTTTGGCTTACCACTGGACTTTGATGACTCTGAAAGAGAGAGTAAGGCTGACAATTCTTGTGCAACTCTGCCTCACTTCAATCTGACTTATGCACAAGTCATAAAATTACTCATTCATGTCATTGGTCTTCTTAAAAAATGAAGAATGAACAACAACAAAGCATACTCTATTATAACTTGTCTCTTGCCTCCCAAAACATATCTCCCAACTCCCTCCTGTGTATTTCTACCTGGAAGACCTGAAAGTCGGCATACCCCAAACCAAGTTCATCCTCCCAAATCTGCTCCTTTTGCAAACTTCTCCATCTTTCAACGTGCCACCATCCTTTCAGGCACCCAGCTTTTTAACTTCATTCATCTCAGACTGTCTCCTCTCCCCCACTTCCATATTTGATCAGTTGCCAAGTCGTGCTAATTCTATTACTACTATTACTACTTCTATTACATTGCCAGACACCTTCTGAGTTTAGTTACTTAACACTTCTCATCTGGACTAATGTAATAGCCTCCTGTTTGGTCTTCCTGATTCTAGCCTCTTCCTTCACACAGTTGCAAAAATGATCTGCCTAAGGCATAGATCTAACCTGTCATTCCCCTACTCAAGTCCTCAGTGGTTCCCTATTTCCTCTAGAATAAAAGATATAACTTTTTAGCTCAGCATTTAAAGCCCTCTGTAATCTGGTGTCAGCTCACCTCTCCAGCTTTATCCCACATTAATCCTTTTCATGTACTTTAGCTCCAGGCAAACTGGACTTCCTGCTTGTGATGGGTCAAAAGCTGTCCCTCATCCTTGGAATTCACTTCCTCAGGTACCTAATAACTTTTGCTGTGAAGCTTTCCTTAATTCCTCTTCTCTCACCACCTCCTTCCCCCAGTTATTTGTAAAGATATTTCTCAAGCTCTTTGATCTTTTCTTTGCCTTTCACTCCTTACCCTGTATTAAACTTCCCAGTATTTATATCAAATTGCCCTACAAGTTCCTTGAAGGCAGAACCTCTTTGAATCCCCAAACCTAGACATAGTGTCTTGCACAGAGTAGGTGCTTAATAATATTTGCTGAATTTAAAGGCTTTTCAGATAAATAGACCTATGTTGATGTTGTATTTCAGCTGCATTTCCCTGAATGAATAACTAACAAAGCTTCTGAATTATTTCTATATGTTATTTCAGTGATTAGGGGAGGACCTTTGGAAAATAATTATCGGTTAAAGCAGTTCCATTTTCACTGGGGAGCAATAAATGACTGGGGTTCAGAACATACTATTGACAGTAAATGTTATCCAGCCGAGGTATGTACTTTATTACTGTGATACTTTAAAACAAACTAAAAGTAAGTTCTGATGTTTTTAATTCTAAGCAGTTAAAAATTGCCAATCAGTTGATGAATAGGAGATGCTGTGACTTAACTTCTTTATGGGCTGTATTAAATCACCTGAATCTTAAAAATGTAAAAATTGAAGACTACTGAAATGTTAAGTGTTTTGGTGTCGGTCACAATTTGTAGTTAAAATTTGTTGTTGTTGCTGTTGTTGAGACCTTTTCAGTCGTATCTGACTCTTCTTGATCATATTTGGAGTTTTCTTGGCAAAGATACTAGAGTGGTTTGCCATTTCCTTCTCCAGCTCATTTTTGCAGATGAGGAAACTGAGGCAAACAGGGTTAAGTGACTTGCCCAGGGTCACACAGCTAGTAAGTGTGTGAGGCCAGATTTGAATTCAGGAAGGATCTTCCTGATTCTAGGCCCAGCACTCTATCCACTGTGCCACCTAGCTGCCTGTAGTTACAATTAGGAAATTATTTTTTAAAAAAATTAAATGTTTTTAGGTTCTCTAATGAAGGTTGCCTTAGAAGACCATTATGATTTCATAATGTTTATGTTAAGAAAATAGCTGAGATTTGGCCATAGTAGGCCTTTTCTATGTGCAGTGATTGTATTTTTAAAAATATTTTATTGATATATTTGGACATGAAATTACTTGCCTAATGCCACATAGTGCCAGAACTGAACTTTTTCTGCCTTCTAGGATATATAACCCTTTGAAAAAGAAATAAAGCTAAAGAAGTAGATGTGAAGCAAGTATACAGGTCAACTTAATGAAGAGATAGAGGAGGCCCTCATTATTTACAGGGGATCCTTTGTAAAGATCTCTGCAAAGAGAAGTTACTATTTCCTTGACAGGTATACCCCCTTCCTTTCCCCTGGCCACACTGGCTTCAGACCATTTCTTAGCTTGGAGAAAAGGGTGACAGGGGAGTGGACCAGCTGCACAACTACATACACACATGCATACATGTGTATATATGCACACATACATGTGTGTTTGTATGCATGCACATATACACATGCTTGCATATGTATATATACTTATACACCTATGTATACATATATACATGTAACTTTTATATAGATACATGTCCTATATCGATAATATGAAACTATATGAATCCATAGATATATAGTTTATCATATGGATATATGTTATATATAAAAATGCAAATCTATAGACAAAGTTTTACATAGATATATGTCTATATAAAACTATATGTCAATAGATTTTCATAATTTTATATAGAGATATGTATAATATATGGCTATATATTATATATACACATATATACATATGTGCATGTATGTATATATGTGTGTATATATCTATAAACATACACACATACATACATACCCTACTTCCATACTGCCACAGTAGTCTCATGAAAATCATAAGGAGAGGATCTCTGAGATCAAGATCGTGTCATTTACCACAGCTCCTCATTTTATATGTGAGGAGTCTGAGGTCCATGGAAATTAAAGGTGCCCATGGTTACTCCCACAACCAAGTAGATACATAAACTGTAGTAAGAATATCAGTCTCTTGCTAAAGCACTGCTTTAAAATGCCTTACAAATATCTGTTGATTGAGTGGAAAGATACCTTTAAAAGGCTATCCTGAGTAATTTTTATTTATCCTTGAGGTCATGGAGCCACTATAGGTTTTTGAATAGGAGATAGCATTGTCTGACCTGTGCATTAGGAAGATTAAATAATTTTTTTGTAAGGTATCTGAAAAAATGTTCAACTAGGATCATTACAATCCATTTCTCTGGCTTATTTTCACCCAGTTTTCATGTACTAAACTCTTCTTCAATGGTATTTCAGCTACATTTAGTACACTGGAATGCAGTCAAATATAAAAGTTTTGAAGATGCTGCAATGGAGGAAAATGGATTGGCTGTGATAGGAGTATTTTTGAAGGTAAAGTCTTACTCATCTGAAATTACTTGTTCAACTGAATATAATTCTTTATTTTTCAAAATCATTGTTTAAGGGAGAGTTTATTTTTTGCCATAATTTTAATTTTTTTCTTTGTCATTCTTTAGCTTGGTGTGCATCATAAAGAACTACAGAAATTAGTGGATGCTTTGCCAGCAATCAAACATAAGGTAATATTTGAAATTTTAAGACTACTAAATATTAAGTGTTTTTGTGTTGGTCACAATGTGTAGTTAGAGTAAGGCAGTTTTTATTTTAAAAAATGAAATATTTTCAGGTTCTCTAATTAAGATTGCCTTTGAAAACCCAAATATAATTTCATAATATTTGGGAAAGTAGCTAAAACTTTGCTTTAGTAGGCCTTTACTATGTGTAATGTTTCTGTGTGTAACATTTTTCTTGATGCATTTGGACATGAGTCACTTCCCGACAACTCACTCATAGTGGTTGTTGTTGTTGCTGTTCAGTTGTTCAATCAAGTCTGACTCTTTGTGACCCCGTGGACTTGTCCATGGGGTTTTCTTGGCAAAGATACTGGAATGATTTGCCATTTCCTTCTGCAGTACACAAAATGGTAGGTTTCCATAAAAAAGTCAAGCAAAACTGCCTAACAGAGTATTATATGGTCATATTCCTGGAGGAAAAGAAATGTTTTCATTGATTTTTGTCATAGGATGTTGTTGCTTGTTGTTCAGTTGTTTCAGTCATACCTGACTCTTCGTGACCCCATTTGGGATATAATTGGCAAAGATACTGGAGTGTTTTGTCATTTCCTTCTCCAGCTCATTTCTACAGATGTGGAAACTGAGGCAAAAAGGTCTGAGTGACTCGCCCAGGGTCACACAGTTAGTAGATGTCTAAGGCCAGATTTGAACTTAGGAAGATGAACCTTCCTGACTCCAGGCCTGGCATTCTATCCACTGCACCACCTAGCTGCTCCTGGGTGTCAGAGCATATACAACTCTTGATTGATTTCTTCCCTCTATATCAATTCATGCCATACATATTTCTCTGAATCTTTCACATTTGTCATTCCTCATAGCTCAGTAATATTTTATTACATTTATATTGCACAGTTTGAGCCTTTCCCCAGTCATTGGGTTTATAATTTGTCTTCAGCTTTTTTGATATTAAAATGGTTGTTTTGAAAGCATAGCAACACAGCAGTCGACTGGCCTATAGTTCACTGTCTGCTGCCCTCACTTGATGACATTTTGGTGATTCTCTAATGTAATTTTGGCCTCAGAAAACAGCCCTCTCCTTTCTACCTTTATAGCTTTGGAGTAAATAGTCATGACAGTAACATACTTTCCTAGCATCTTTTCTTCCTCCAGCTTAGACAGTTGTCTTGTCTTTGTGCTTATTACATTTTTAAAACCCAAAAACTTTTAGTGTCTGGGAAGATAGATGTAACTCTCCCGTTAACATGTGAGCACTCCCGTTAACATGTGAGCAACTATCTGCTGCCTATCTTTCACAGTATAACCATAACTACTTCATTAGAGGGAGTGAATATAAATGTGAATATGATCCTCTTATAATTAAACCAAGCACAGATACATGGATACACAGATACATAGATAGAGTCTAGCTGTGTCCTTCTTTAGACCTTTTGTTCTGATTTGAGCCTTGCTATCTCTCTCTCTCCTGTGAGCTTCAATGGAGAATTTATTTTTGATCCAGAATCATTTTGTCTGGCTTCCTGAAAAGTCTGTATTTTTTCTTGAACTCAGTCTCAGTTGAGGTTACTCACTTGGCTACCTGATATGTGGATCTTTTTTTCCTTCTAAATTCTTTAAAAAAACACACACATATACAGGCATGTGTGCACATGCACGTATACACATGTACACACACAGAGAGAAACAAAAATCATCTTTTCTCCCTTCAGCTTAGACACTTGTATTGTCTTTATTCTTATTATACTTTTTTAAACCCAAAGACTTCTAGTGTATGTTTTTTGGAGAAAAAAAATATATGTATATAAAGATATATGTATATATGTATGTTTGTATATGTATATGTATGTATACATATATACCTGTCCTGTTAACATGTAAGCAACTATTTACTACCTTTCCTTGAGTATCCATTTAAGTATGAAAGATGGGGAATATAAATTAATCACTGTTATATCTAATCTATGGTGTGATGAATCATGACAGGATTCTTCAGTATCACTGAATATTGAATGATAAAATAAATAAATTGCTAACATTGACATTTAAATATTTGAATAAACTTGTTTTACATTAAACATGAAAAACTATGTCAAATATCATATACCCAGTGAATAATCATTTTTTATGGTAAGGCAAATATTTAAAGAATTTTTTCATAGCTGATAGGTTTTCAGAGGTTAATAAGAGGTTACATTGTATATTTTCCCCTGCTTTAAAGTTTTATAGGTCTTTGCATTCTCCTACCCCAAAAAGTTAAGGAAATGTGTTAACAGGAAAGTTTTAAAATTTCCTTGCTCCAGATGGGTGGTTCTGTTTTGGGTTGTTGCAAATCTAGATTATAACAAAGGAACCCAGTGGACCAATTACTCCATCTGTTTCTATTTCCTTCTTGAAAAATAAAAACATAAGTACTAAGTATCTGAGGCAGGAAATGAATTCAAACCTTCCAGACTCCAAGACCAATTTTCTAACTACTATACTACTTATCTCCTATGGCAGGAAGGGTCCCAAGCACCTGTTTATAGATTCAGAATCATCCCTAAAATCCTAGGAAAATGTCTATACTTGACAGCCCAAACCTGTTCCAAGCACTAAGACCACAGTGTATGAGAAGCAATATAGGAGAGTGGCTAGGACACTGCACTTGGAGTCAGGAAATCCCAAGTGTAAATCCCATCTCCAAGTCAAGTCACCTGTCTCTGCAAGAAGGTGGATAATAACATCTCCAGTAATTGTATATAAAGTACTTTGGAACCTTAAAGTGTATATAAATCTCATTAAGAAAAATAAAGAAAGCTCCCAAATGGATTTTATGCCCCCAAAATCCAACCTCAGAGAATGAAAATTTTGATGATGCTTCTAGTCTGTTTCTGTCTGAGGACTTAACATGCGGCCCCTATCCACGGTCCTGATTGCTAACTATTCTCAGCTGCTGCCAGTCAGTTCTGGTTAAAGTGTGTGGTTTGTCAAATTGATCTTCTTAAAGTTTAAGTCTGATCACGTTTCCCACCCCATCCTCCCATACAGTCACTTCCATTGGCTCTCTGTTGTCTCCAGGATCAAATATAAAATCTTATTTGTCTTCTAAAGCCTTTCATAACCTGGCCCTTTCCTGCCTTTCCAGTCTCCTCACATTTTACTCTTGTCCATGTACTTTGTAATCCAGCTTTATTGGCTTCTTTGCTGTTCCTGGAACAAAACAGTCTTCCAACTCCAGGCATTTTCACTGACTGTTCCCCCATGCCTGGGAACTCTCTCCCTCTTCATTTCCACTACCTATCTTGCCTGGCTTCCTTCAGGACCCTGCTAAAGTTCCACAAAGAAGCCTTTCTCAGTCTTCCATCTTAGTACCTTCCCTCTGAGACTCTCTCCAGTCTATTCTGCCTGAATCTTTTTGTACATAGCTGTTTGCATGTTATCTCATCCATCATACTGTGAGTTCCTTGACAGCAGAGAATTTCCTTTGCTTTTTGTTGTATCCCTGGAGCTTAAGTACACATAGCTGGCACATAGCAGTCACTTAATGGTTGTTGACTTGACTTTTTTTTTCTCTTCTGGGGAATCCTTTTTCTTTTGCTTGCTTTCCTCTGAACTTCTCTTTTGCTGTTAGCCTTTCCTTTTCTAAATCCTGCCTGTTGTGGATTGGAGTCACCTAGATTCTAGGCTGAAAGCTGGTCAACATTCAATGATATCATACCCCAATAACACTTTGTTAATACTTTATTTTGAGTAGCTCAAAGGAAAGTGTTTAAACACATCCATTCCTGATACTATAAAGATTGAGCAGATGGAACATAAAGGCTCACCACAACTCTCATCAGGGTTATAGTATTTTAATAAATTATGGAAATTATGTGAATATCTTTGCTAAAAATTTTCTGGGTTTTTAACCTCCCCCACATGGCAACCATTAGACACAAATATGTATGTATATGTAAAATTATTCTATATGTACTTCTGTTTATCAGTTCTTTTTCTGGATGCAGATAGTGTCTTCCTTCATGTGTCCTTTGTAGTTAATTTAGATATTTATAATAGTCAAAATGACATAGTCATTCAAAGTTGTTCTTAAAACAATATTGTTGTTACCTTAGGTTAAAGGAAAATATAAATAAGGATATTTGTTGCTTGTCACTTTGAGATACAACTGAAATTACATTTTGCTTTCTCCAGGCTTTTTTTTTTGGTTGCTGGAAACCATGGTTGGGACAAAGTGCTTTTTTGGATACTTATCCCTTTACCATTTGCCTGAAGAAATTAAAAAAAAAATAGCCAAATAAAGAAAATGGCAGTGTTTTTATGAAATCCCAATGATGAATATAAAAATATATAATTCATACTAGAAAAAAAACTACGGTCATAAATTATGAACTAGAAGGGACCTCAGAGATCATTTAGTCCAACTCTCTCATTTTACAGATGAAAAAACCAGACCCGAAGGTTGAGTGACTTGTCCAACCCCATAGGAAGGTAAATAGCAGAACTGAAATTCAAAACAGGTCCTATGTCTCTATATCTCTTTAAAATAGCACACATCCCCTTCTAGAAATTCCTATGTAATTAATATTAAACTGATAAGAAAAGATATAATCATAAAGCACTTTTTAACTTTTAACTACTGGATTGGAGTTTAAATCTGGCTTCAGACACAAACTAACTATGTGACTTTGGGCAAGTCACTTAACCCCATTTTGCTTCATTTTCCTCATCTATAAAATAGGGGTAATAACTCCTATCTCCCAGGGTTGTTGTGAGGATCAAATGAAATAATATTTACAAGGTGCTTAACACAGTGCCTGACATATTGTATAAATGTTAACTATTAATATTATTAAATAACATATAATCACAGTTCATTAATACAGGGTGACCCAAAAGTCTTAGTGCAGTTTTGTTTTAATAACTTTATAAGTGTAAATTATACAAACTTACAGAAAACAACATTTGAAAGTTTAATCATTTAAATTTCTTTTATAGTTATTTTGTGAATTTTGAATAATTCTCATGCATTACATGTGCACTTTTTTAGACTGATAGATTGCTGGAGGAGGTCCTCTTATTTATCCCCTTTGACTTTTTCTTGTGTTGCTGGGTCAAAACTGTCATGTATGCATCCAAACATTTTGGATGATCTTAAAACTAAGATTACAAATGCAATCCTTTCAGTCCCTGAGCAGAACCCAATGAAAGTTTTTACAAAGTTTGAAAATCAAGAAGGGCAATATATATACATGAGTTGGTTGTTATATTGAATTTTAATGAGAAACATATCAATAATTAACTTTTCAGGGTTTTTTTTGGTGAGTTTATAGCATTTGTACTTCTGCTTTTTAAAGTTCAATTTTATTTTGATTTTCATTTCCAAGTTCTTCCCCTTCCTTCCACCCCTCCCCACCAACTGAGAAGGCAAGAAATATAATATCCATACATTTGAAGTCAGGCAAAACATATTTCTGCATTAGTTATGTTCTGAAAATATATCTCTTACATTATTAAAGCTTAAAATGCACTAAGATTTTTGGAACACTGTATTATCATATTGTAGCACAGCATTTTGTCTAATGCTCTTATAATTTAATATTGTGTTATACTTATCTTTGTTTGTATATTATCCTTCTTCCAGACCATAAGCTCTATGAAGGTGGGAACCATATTTTATCTAAATTTTATAGCTTCTTCAGTGCATACATAGCATGACTCCTCTGAATACAATAGTGCTTACTGAATATATTTGCATATACATTTTTCCATATTAGCCATGCTGCAAAAGAAAACACAGACCAAAAAAAAATCAAGAAAAATAAAGAAAGTAAGAAAAAAGAATGCATTGATCTTCGTTTAAACTCCATCAGTTTTTTCTCTGGAGGAGGATAGCATTTCATTATAAATCCTTCAGAATTGTCTTGGATCATTGTCTTAATCAGAATAGCAAAATCATTCACAGTTGATCACCATGCAATATTGCTGTTACTGCTAAAAAGATTCTCCTGGTTCAACTCATTTCGCTTTGCATGAATTCATATAAGTCTTCCCAGATTTTTCTGAAACCATCCTATTCATCATTGCAAATTGGGAATAGTGATGTCCTTGACAAAAATGGGGAAAGTTGGAGGGAGTTTGGAAGTTTGAAAGTTAGAATGCCCAGTTTTAGATATGCTGCGTTTGAAATACCTACCAGGACATCCAGGTGGTGATGTCCAGCAATAGGTAGTAATGTGGAATTAGATTTCAGAGGAGAAATTAGGACTTTATCCTGAAGGGAAAGAACAGCTAGGTGGCACAGTGCATAGAGCATGGGACCTAGATCTGAGTTCAAATCTGGCCTCAGATACTTACTTGCAGTATGACACTGCGCAAGTCACTTAACCCTGTTTGCCTCAGTTTCCTCATCTGTTAAAATGAGCTGGAGAAGGAAAGGGCAAACCACTCCAGTAGCTTTGCCAGGAAAACTCCAAATGGAGTCATGAACGGGTCAGATATGATTGAAATAACAGAATAACACCAACTATAGGGGCAGGAATCTATTGAGAAGTTATTATAATTTAAACAACAAAAAGCATCCATGACACTTTAAAAAGTCAAGATCATCTGATTTGTAATTTATACTTTTGCTGTATTCACTGAAAAGTTGAAGCTTATCCTAGAAATATTTTCCATGAAATCAACTCAGAGATCAGCCAGAATATTCAAGGAGTACTTACAGGTGGTTTCCAGGTTGGGAAGTTGAAAATCACTGCTTTAGGGAAAGTGAATTTTCCTGAATGTTTTAGTGTTAAAATGTTGATGCAGTGTACAATTGTTTTGTTCAGGATTCACTTGTTGAATTTGGAACATTTGATCCTGCCTGTCTTATGCCAACCTGCCCAGATTTTTGGACCTATTCAGGATCTTTGACCACTCCACCACTTTCAGAATCTGTCACCTGGATCATTAAGAAACAGCCAATTGAGGTTGATCATAATCAGGTAAGTGTTTTCGCATTTCATTTTTAGAAGAAAATTCGGAGTCACCAGTCATCATAAAAGAGAGTAAAATACAGCTTCATTTTAACATTACTACTTTAGGAATGTTGTTTAAAATATACTCATATGTTGTAAGTATTGTTCACTTTTATTTTAGAAAGAAGCTAGACACTTTAGACTAATATCACACAGATGAATGAAGTATAGCAAGCAGTCATGTGAGGCTTCTAATATGTTTTTTAATTTGAGGACAGGTGAAAATGTGAACATTTACTAGGGGGAAGAGGAAGGGAATAAGCTTCTATGTAGTGCTTATTATGTGCCAGGAATCGTCCTAAGCATTTGATTCTTACAACTTTGTAAGGTAAGTGCTGTTATTATTCCCATTTTACAGTTAAGGAAACTGATGCAGTGATAAGTAAGTGACTTGATCAGGATCACACAGTATGTGTGTAAGGCTGAATATGAACTCAGGTTTATCTGACTGCAGTACCAGAGCTCTAACCAGTGGGCCATCTAGCTGGCTGGAGGATAGAGAAAGGTCTTTATCTTAAGGACAAGGACTCTGCAAGGGGTAGCTCTTTGGGGGATCTTCAATACTGGAGCTTTGCAGGGTGTAGTAGGGAAGAAGATGTATGATACAGAGATGGGAACTCCTATGAAGTGGGGGTTGGGGAGACAGGATGTGGTGTGCTTCTTGGTGCCCATGGCAATTTGGCATGGAGCCAGAACTTGTAATGATACAGTGGTCAGATTTCTAAGGAGATATTTTGAATAGCAAGTGTATCATAAAAGCCGAGTCTCATTACTATCATGAGGTGGTATAGACTGAACATATAAATAGGGACATAAAAAGTTTAGATAAATGAATTGTTAACAGATCTATATTGTGATATTAAGAAGAGATGTAGGGAGCACAGCCAAGATGGGGGAATACAACATGTGACCCATCTGAATTCTCCCAATGTTCCCCTCCAAACATCTTTAAAATAATGCTTTGAATCAAATTTTGGAGTGGCAGAGCCAACAGAAGGTCAGAGGGAGACATTTATCCAGCCTAAGACAACTTAGGAGGTCCAAAGGAGAGGTCTGTAACATGGGTGTAACAGCAATGTTGTAATGATAATCAACTGTGAAAGACTTGGCTATTCTGTTCAATACAGTGATCCAAGACAATTCCAAAGGACACATGATGGAAAAATATACTATTTATCTCTAGAGAGAAAACTGATGAACTCTGAGTGCAAACTGAAGTGTTATTTTCTTGCTTTATTTATTTTTTGATATGGCTAATATGGAAATTTGTTTTTACTTGGGAAAAAAGGTAGAAGAGGTAGGAGTGTTTGGATACATTTCTCAGCTGATGAGATTGATATCTATGATGCTGTCCCACAAAACATCTCAGTGTATCTTTTGGAGGGAAAATCCTGAGATAGATGGACCATAAATCTGATTTCACATATTTTTTAGACTTCATGTTTGAAGACAACACTACAGATGGTGATTGCAAATTCTCTGTCTGAAGAGATCAGTAACTTAAAATTATATGAGGATTGTTTTGCTTTTTAGATAAAGTTACCAATTTCAGAGCTTGTCTGTTTGTGGTTATGCCCCTTAAGACAAGTGGTTTGATCTGAATGAAGGCTTTTAGCAAAGATACTTGTTCCTAATTGCTTTATACCAAATTTCTACTAGCAATTGGGATGAGCCTGTTTTGGTTGTAGTACAAAATCTTTCAAAATCATTATTTTCTTTCTAGTGCCATTGAAGCCATGTATTTTTATGTAGGATTGCTCAAAACAGTGTCTTTTCAGAGTGCAAGCAACCAATCTACTGGGCTGCCTACTTGCATGTGAATTTTTTGTATGGTATTATTTTACTGCAAGGTTTATAGATACACAGAAAAAGAAAAGAAATGAGTGTAACTATATGAATTTATGTGGTAATGAGGACAGGTTACTATAAGCCATTAATTATTAACATTAATAATAATCTTTCTGTGTACCCTGTATCAGTTGGCTAAAACATATCTAATTACTGCTAGATTTGTGTTTTGCTATGTATGTAATTTCTGAGCTGCAAAATATGAACATTGTCATATTTCTTAAGCAATAACTTTTTTTCTTCTCAAAATGTTTATATTCACTGTTTCTCATTCTCAGCTTGAGGCATTTCGGATGCTGCTTTTTACTTCAGCTGGGGAGAAAGAAAAGAGGATGGTTGACAATTTTCGTCCACTTCAGCCACTGATGAATCGAACAGTCCGTTCCTCCTTTCATCATGATCATATATTGAATCTGCAGAAGGGAGGCAGACAACAAACACACCATGTTCCTCCGTGAAGAGATAGCAAGATAATACCTTATTTCAGTATGTAATCTACTTCTGGGCTTTTGTCATAATTTTGAAGAGATTTGGGCTTTTCTTTTTAGGACATATCTTAATGTGTATTGCTTATATTTTAAAAGATTATTAACAATAAACTTAGGGAGTATCAAACATAAACGATAAGGTCACAGAATGTGAAAATGCCTTCTACAGGTATTTTGCTTATAATTTGGTTAAACTTTCTCAGAGATTTTTACTACTTTATTTGGATACATTTATCCTCAGATTAAAAAGAAAAGAAAAGTAGCTTTTCAACTAAGCACGCAAAGGTCGTTTAATCAACTTTAAAAGCATTGTAAAAGTAATGTTTGTGACTATGAAAGATCAAGCCTCATTTAAAAAAATGAAAAAAATGTGTAAGTTATAGACAAGTTGATTTTTACATACTGAGTAGATTATGAAAAGGGAAAAACATTGTAATTTTTAATCAGAATTTTGTAGGTCATATTATTGTTATTAACTTGTAATAGGATATATTAGCTACTTTCCACAGAGCAAAAGAAGTAGGGTAGAAAATTGGTGTAATGTCATACAGTCTACATTTTGTATCAGTGAGGGCTGGGCAAATCACAGTCTTTCTCAGTTACATAATGAATTTTAAGATTTTTTGATGAAAGGTGGAAAGCATTTTAAACTTGGTCATAATTAAACAATTTGGTATGCAGTACTTGACATTATAGAGACACTCAAAATAATAAATACTAACTGAATTGCTATTTTAGAAGTTTCAATTTTTTTCCACTTAAATTAATTGTTGATGGATCTCCAAAATCTTTTTTTAGCATGCCTTTTGCCTTTCTCTTTTTCTCATTTAAATTCTGCTTTTTCTTGGTGGAAAATCAAAATAGTTTTACTCTTTTGTACTAGGCATCTGCTGCTAACATCCTACCTTAAGATAAGTATTATTCAGAACTGTTTTGTGTAGAACAATATAACATCATTTTATTGTATCCCAGATGCTTTAATTATGACTTGAGTTCCACAAAATTTCTTGCTCACCTTACTAGTTACATAAAAGATATAATTGTATCGGATAATAGTGGCTTATAGGAACACATTAAGTGATTTATACTTTTCATTTATCAGTAGTAATAGTAAGTGAAAATGCGGTGAGAAAAACAATTATGAATTCTTAGAACATTTCCAGGTGTCATTGAAAAATAATTTTCACTGAATATTAAAAACAAATAAATACTTTTTATTGCCAATGATAATAGAATAGAGGAAGAGTATGCTATATTTTATTCTGCTTAAAGTGACTACATTTCAGCAAGTACGGTTGTAATAGCTTCATTATTGTGGGTGGTCACAGTAACCTAAACATTCAGATTTTACATTTAGACAATACAACTGAAGAATTATTTTCCTACTTTCAGTTTAAGTATAGTTTTTTTGGTAGGTCATTGTTGGAAAACAAATCTATAATGCATGTTATTTATAACCATTTCCATGCATACAAGGGGACTTCAGTAGTATATATATATAGATGATCCCTAAATATCTTAATTTCCTAATTCTTCAGGCTACTTATTTCCTATGACCTACTCCTACTCAATTACCTGTAGAGGGTCATGCCTTTGATCTTGCCATCATCAACAATTTTCTTCCATTTTCATGAATTCTAAAATTCATTATTTCTCATGGCCAGTAACCCTATTCTTCATCTTCACCATGACTTCCATGGTTTCTACCTTTTAGTTCTTTACTAGGTCATTTTCCCTGCCCTGGCTATACCATTCTTCTTTCCCTATGTCAGCTCTTTGGTGAACCATTTCAACTCTGCATTATCTTTTACTTACAAATCATTTTCTCCTTTGTTCCACTGATGATCTTGCCTTGTCAAACCCTGACCCTGGAATACTACTATTTGCCTTTTTTGGGCTATTCACATGCTGCTGAATAGAACTGGAGAAAATCATGGAACCTTGTTGATTATGTCTACTAAAAATTTATATTATAAAATCTCATTTATGACCTCACCATAATAAAGCAGTCCCTCTACTACTCTCTAATTGATTCACTATCCTACTCTCCATAACAGCTCGTCCAGACCTTCTGTCTAATCCAGCTTCCTTCTCAACTGAGAATGTTGACTCTTTTTTCACTGGAAAAAACCGAAGCCATTCACCAAGAACTGTCTCCCTCTCTCCTCTTCATCTCATATCAAGCATACATTTCCCCTCACTAACTCCTCTTTTATTCTGGTCTCAGATGAAGGTAGTGGCCCCTCTTCTAGACAACTGTCCCGTACAGGCAATCTTGATCACATTCCTCTACCATCTTCTTTCCTTTTTGACCAAACTCCTTGAGAAAGCCATTTATTATAGGTGACTCCATTTCCTCTCCTCAAATTCTCTCCTCAACCTTCTGTCTTGTGACTTATCCTTCAACTTCCTTTTGGTCATGTCAAACTGTACTCTGGTAGGCATTTATACTTCTGAGAGAGGAGTCATTATCTTTCATCCCAGACCCTTCTCTCTTCTGAACGTTCCTATTACTGTGGAGGGTATCACCTTTCCCAGTCATCCAAGTTTAAAACCTCAGTGTAATCCTTGATCCTTCAATCCCATTTACTCCACATATGGAGTATGTTGTCAGATTTTGTTTCTACCTTCACAATACGTTGTTTACATTTCCTTTTCTCTGCTCACACCACTGTCATCTTGGTTCATCCCTGCTCAGTAGACCACCCCAATAATTTCCTAATTGTTCTCCCTGCCTCAACTCTCTTCCCATTCCAATCCATGATACCAGAATGATTTTTCTAAAGCACTACCCATGTCACCTCCCTGCCCAATAAACTTCAGTGGTTCCTTATAACCTCTGGGATCTCCCCGTAGTCCTTTGTTTGGCATTTAATGCTGTTCAAAACTTGGCCCCTTCCTACATTTCCAGACTTGCACTTTGCTGCCCTCCATGGACTCCATGATCTAGCTACATTATCCATTTGCTGTTCTTTGCACAAGACACTCCACCTGTCATCTTTGTATCTTTGCACTGGCTAACCCTCATGCTTGGATTGCTCCTCCTCCTCACTTCCATCTCTTAGTTTCCCTGGCTCCTTCAAGACTAAGTTCAAATCTCACCATGGTTGGGATTCAGATCTCCTTCTCCCCCATCCCCACCAGCTGCTAGAGCTTTTGAGATTACCTTCCACTGACTCTATCTGTATTTTTTATGTACTTAGTTATTTATATGTTATCTTTTCCTTTAGAATGTATGCTCCTTGAGGGCAGGAACTCTTATTGCCTTTCTTTGTATCACCAGCACTTAGCACAGTGAGTGGCACATAGTAAGTGCTTAATAAATGATTACTGACTGCCTGAATTACATAACCAACCTTTTTTATGTTAATTCCTTAAAGTTTAGTGTTTCTATGGAGGTTTAAATATACATTAAATGTAAAATTTGAATGTATATGTATGCATTCTTACAGGAAATATTTTTATCTTGATTTTTTTAGTCTGTATTAATAGTTGTTATATATACTTACTATAGGGAACTTACACCAGAGAAAATGCAATTGCCAAATATGGAGAATTACAATAATTTTTAAAGAGGCCATGTGCATAAATTTAAAAGAAAAAAATGCAAATACTTACATTATTCAGGTAAATGACCAAGACTTGGAGTTCTTTTATGGTCCAGAAATGTTTTTCAAAAAATTTTTAATCAAGGTTTTATGTATTTTCATTTGTACCCTTTATAGAGAAATACACTTTAGATAATATTTTCTTTATATTCCGGCAATTTTGTTATAACAAAGGTAGCAGAAATGTTAATGAATTAAAATAATGTAGTGTTTTTCTGACCTCCTGTAACAATTACTTTTTGCATTTTATACTTTTATAATTTGTCGAATTACTGTTTATGACAGGCAAGTGACCAATAAAAATCTTATAAATGTATACAGTCGTCTACAAGTTGTTTTGTTGCACGTATGGTTAGAACATAGGTCCTTCTTAACAAATTTTTAATAAGTTGCCATTTTGTTGCCTATTTGTTGCCTGTTAATAGCTTTTGGGTGGTTCTCCAAACTATTTGGAAATCTGCATTCAATTTTAAAACTGCACAGATGATTAAAACTTTAATATTTAATTAATATGCTAATTTTCTACAGAGCTAACTGAGAATATTTGTTCTTACATTAAGTTGCCTTACTTTGAATATCACCATCTTAGGTATTTGTCTTTTTGAAGGAAGCAAAAATTTTAATGTTTCAAAGACACAAAAAACATATTAATGTTCATCTTATGCAATTTTAAATGCACTTTACATGCAGTGTATCATGTAGCATGTAGGGTATCAAATACCCTGGTTCATACAAATGAAAAGACCCTCATAAAATCCTAGTGCAAAGCCACAGTATGGTAGATGAAAAGCCCAACATGTAAGAATAAGTCTTTCCCCATCCTGAAGGGAGAATGGATATTCTTTTTATACTTTCATTTTTCATTGATCTTATTGATACTTTCATTTCCAAATGTATCCTCTCCATTCCTTTGACCAGTGAGCCATCCCTTGTATAAAAGATTAAGAAGAATAGGGAAAAAAAGTTTAGCAAGACTTAACACACCAGACTAGAACTGAAGGACTGCAATATTTTGCACTCAAAGTTCCCTATTTTTGCAAAGAGAAGCTGTACATTTTCTCATCTCTTCAGGTAACAGCTTAGTTATTATAATTAGGCTGGTTTAGTTTCTTATTTTGGATGTTATTCTTTCTTTTTGGGGGGGGGAAGAGGAAGAACCTATAGTGAACATTATATTCTTTTTAAAAAATTAATTAGTTTGTTTTTAGTTTTAAATATTCATTTCCATAAGATTTTGAGTTTTAAATTTTCTTCCCCCTCCTTCCCCTCCCTCTTCCCCAAGACAGCATGCAATCTGATATAGGCTTTACATATATTCATATTATACCTATTTTCACATTAATCGTATTGTAAAGAAGAATTAGAACCAATGGGAGGAATCATGAGAAAGAAGAAAGAAACAAAAAGAGAGAGAGAGAGCAAATAGTATGATTCCATCTGCATTCAGACTCCATAGTTCTTTCTCTGGATGTGGATAGCATTTTCCATCATGAGTCTTTTGGAGTTGTCTTAGATCCTTGCATTACTGAGAAGAGCTAAGTCTATCAAAGTTAGTCATCGCACGATGTTGCTGTTACTCTGTACAACCTTCCCCTGGTTCTTCTAACTTCAGTCAGCATCAGTTCAAATAAGTCTTTCCAGGTTTTTCTGAAGTCCACTTGCTCATCATTTCTTATAGCACACTAATATTCCTTCACATTCATACACCACAACTTGTTCAGCCATTTCCCAATTGATAGGCATCGCCTTAATTTCCAATTTTTGGCCACCACAAAAAGAACTGCTATAAACATTTTTGTACATGTGGGTCCTTTTCCCATTATGATCTCTTTGGGATATAGACCTGGAAGGTTCTTTACGGGGTAAAAGGGTATGCACAGTTTTGTAGCCCTTTGGGAATAGTTCCAAATTGCTCTCCACAATCGCTGGATCAGTTCACAGATGTTATTCTTTCTATCGACATTGTTGTTCTAAGTATACTCCCTTCCTGGCTCTGATTATTTCCTTTTGGTACAGTTCATATAAGGCTTCCTATGTTTCTTATTTTTTCATATTCATTTCTTATGACATAGCAATGTTCTATTATTTTCATGTATTCTCTGTTTAGGCATTCCCCAATTGATAGACAT